GCGGGCGCGTCGAAGCTCCAGGCCAAGCAGCGGAGCCGCCTCGCGCGGCGGGAGATCGAGGAGAAGCACGTCGCCGCGACGAAGCTCCAGTCCAGGGAGCGGAGCCGCCTCGCGCGCCGCGAGATGGACGTGAAGCACGATTCCGCGACGATGCTCCAGTCCGCGCAGCGCGCGCGGAGCGCGCGCCGCGCGGGCCCCTGCATCGGCCACGGCCGGCGCCTCTACCAGGTCATGGACCGCGGCGGCAAGAAGGTCCTGGGCATCGACGAGATCGTCGAGTGCGTCACGAACCGGCCCGAGTGCGTCTTCTTCCTCAAGGGCTGCGACAACGATTTGCTCCGCGACCTCCTCGCGGCGCCGGACCTCGCCTCCAAGCTCGCGGAGCGGCCCCTGGCGACGCCGGGCTTCGTCACGGCCGACGAGTTCGACCAGGCCATCCACGCGTGGGCGCGGCGGCCGACGATGGCCGCGCTGCCCGAGTTCGCCGAGGAGGACGAGGACGGGCCGAACCTCGAGACGTGGAGCTTGGAGTCGCCCGTGCCCAGTGTCGTCTCCGTCGGGTCCTACCCCGAGGCCGACGCCTCCCCCCTCTTCGGCGCCGCGCCCGCGCCCGCGCCCGGCGCGGCACCGGCGCCGCGCGAGCCCGGGCCCGGGACGCGCGCGCCGAAGAAGGCCCGCGCGCGGAAGCCGGCCCCGCCGCCGGCGGCGCCGGCGCCCGTCGTCGTCGTCGTGGCGGAGCCGCCGCCGCGGCGCGAGCTCGTCATCGACGACGCGCTCGCGGCGGAGATCGCGCGCGCGACGGACGCGCGCGTCGCGCGGCGCCGCGCGGCGACGCCCGCGGCGCCCCTCGGCGAGGACGTGCGCGAGGCCTTCGCGTCCCAAGCCCGCGACGAGCTCGGCGAGGACGCGCTGGGCCAGGCGCGCGACGCGTTCTTCGGCGCGGACAAGGACCGGTCGTCGACGCTCGACGAAACGGAGGTCAAGGCCGTGCTCGGCCGCATGGGCGTCTCCGCAGTCGACGAGCTCACGGACTACTTCATGACCGACGCCGGCGGT